GCCCCAGGTGGGGCGCATTCGGGAGGCAACCAATCAATGTGTCTCACATCTATGTTTTTTTTTCTCCCTCCCTCCCTTTCACTCTCTCTTTAAAAATAAAATAAAACAAAACTGGAAAAATATCCTCTGGTGAGCATTAACAACGAAAGGTTAAAGTAGCCGTTTTTATATTTAAGGCCATAAAAAAAAAAAAACCCAAAAAACAAAAAACAAAAGCAGCTGGTGGCTCCGTGTGACCTGGACGTTCCCTGAACGAAGGCCTGAGAGCCAGAGCCCAGCGCAGGCCAGCCCCGCCCAGCCAGCTCCGGCCGGGAGAGGGCGGGAAATGCCCCTCCACCGAGGCCCACATGCAGAGCGCACGCGGGGCTGGCGCAGGAGGGAGCCCCAGGGCTGCGTGGGCACCCAGGACTGAGCACCCACAGGCAGCCCACCGGGACCCCCGCAGCCTTCTTTCCTCCCAGACGGGCCCTGCCTGACCCGCCTCCTGATGCTGCTCCCTCCCAGCACCGGGCCCTCGCTCCTCCTCCTCTTCCAGCCCACAGGCCCGCCAGGAGGCTCCCCATGCTGCAGACCCTGCAGCCACAGGACCATGATGGGGACCATAATTGTCCTTGGCAGCTGCGTGCACTGTCACACTGCCTTCCCCGGCATCCAGCAAACACACTGCGCAGTGGGTGGGGGATGGAGTGATGGATGGACAGCAGACCAATAGATGGGCCTGCCCGCTGCCCACCCCAAGGGGCAGGTGCCTGGGGAGGGCAGGTGACTAGGGAGGGCCGGGCCGGGCCTTCCTAACCCTCTGACCAGGATGTGCATGGAAGCGCAGCCGTGCGGGCGCGGACCCGTTTGAGAACTGCTTCCCCAGGGAGCCCACTCACAGCTGCACCTGCGGGGCAGCGCCGGCTCCCGGAGGCCCAGCTCACAGCCGCTCTGAGCAGCGGAGAGGCCGGGCCAACGCAGCCGCCTCCACCCGGCCTTCTTCCCATTGACTGCCGGACGCCGCCTTGCGGGTGGACTGCGCTTTGGGGAGCCTCCCCCGCTGGTGAATCCACAGGTGAGCCCGCCCCCGGAACCGGGGCTCATGCCGAGCAGCCTGCGAGCGAGGGAGGGCTCCGTCGGACGGACGGGCCCAGGATGGCAGCCCCCTTCTCTCCCTATTCCCCGCCCCTCGCTCTTTACCTGCCCCAATGCCCCTCCCGCCTCCTCCCCGCCTTCCTTCCTCCTCCCCCTCCCTCCTTCCTTCTTCCCGGTCACCCACCCCGTGTCCCCGGGCGGCGCCCATGTGCCGCAGAGACCCCGCAGGGGCCCAGGGCCTCCCGGCCGGAGGCGGACAGCGCCCCCTGGTGGCCGGCCGCAGGAGGCTGCGGGGGGCGGTCTAGGTTCACCGGTTAGCCATCACCCATCAGGCTCTGTCTGTGAAAAGTGCCTCAAACGGGCCAGAGACCCCGCCACCAGCAGCAATGGGGGGAGAGGGGGTCCCGGAGAGGGGCCTCTTCAACGGGGGAGGGGGTGCGACACCCTTTCTCAGAGGGTACCCCGAGATGAAGAGAATGGGGACAAAGGCATTGAGGCGGGAGGGGGGGCCGCGGAACCCCAAGGTCAGGAATTTGGAATTAGGGGGGTAGGAGAACAGGACCCCCTCCTGCAATGGGGAGCCACGCGAGTCTGAGGGGAGGGATCCGCTTTGCATTTGAGGGAGAGAAGCGCCCCCTGGCTTCTGGGGAGGGGAGGCATCACAGCCCCGCGCCAGGTGGTGAAACTCAATCCCCCGGACAGGGGAGGGTGTGGGGGGCTGCCCAGCGGGTCTGGAAGAAACAGCTCCGGGTTTTGGGCTAGAGCTGCAGGACGCGGCCCGGCCTCTGGGCACACATTATAAATGGGGGGACATTTAGTGACGGTCACACAAGATCAGACACACCTGCCCCAACAGTGCCTTCCAGATATTGGACCATCTGGGAAAGGCCACACCACAGGGCTCATCGCCGCCCTGGCCGCAGAAGGCTGGAGACAGCCCGAGTGCCCCCCGCAGAGGCTGGCCAGTAAGGCCCGGCCCGGCCAGCAGTGGGACAGGGAGCGTCTGTCCCAAAGAATGAGGAAGCTACGTGTGAATGGACGTGGAGCCATCAACATGATAGGGAAAAGGGAAGGCACAGAGGGGAGTGTCTCTCAGCTACCACCTGTGGACTCCTAGTATAATCCAGAGGGCAACCAGTGAAAGGAACATAAAGCAATAAAATGTAATTGGTACAAAAGAGGAAGAGGAAGGGAGAAAAGGGAAATAGGAGAGATGGGACGAACAGAAGATGAAGAGTCACACGAAAGGTATAGACTTAAGTTCAGGGCAAAAGTAGGTTCATAGTTGTGAGTCCATGAAACAGTTTTATTCTTGTCTTGTTGTTATTATTATTGTATTATTTTCCATAGGAACAACGGTAAGCCTACTTTTGCCCCACCCTGAACATCGGCCTTACACTAAATGTTAAACCATTAAATGCTCCAGTTCAAAGACAGAGGATATTAGACAGGAGGTTAGAAAACACACAACTACATCCTGCTTACAAGAGACAGGCTTCAAATACAAGCACACAGAAAGACTGAAAGGGAAAAGGTGGAAAAAGACCTATGTGGTGAAAGCATTAACCAAAACAAATCCCTTGTGGCAATATGAAAAATCACACAGGTTTAGACTTTGTTCGAAATAAAGAGGAACCCTTCTGTGAGGTTTAAAGGGCCATTTACCAGGAATATGTAGCATTTCTAAATTGGTATGTACGGAACACGGACCTTAATTACAAGCAAAGCAAAACTAACAAAACAAGATGAGAAATAGGCAAGCTGCAACACATTTCCCATAGAGGGAGCCAGCCACATACACACACACACGTGTACCCCCGGGAAAGGATAAAGGGCATTGCACCTGACACCTGCGGAATCCACAATTTCCTGATGTATTTGGAACCCTTAACAAGAAAGCTTTAAGGGAAGGACTGAAATCTTCCCGTAAAGAATCTGTTCTCTGACTGTGGGTGGAATTAAGCTACAAGCCCACAACAGGAAGATAATTTTAAAATTCCCCGTTTGGACATTAACCAAGAGATTTCTAAATAAGACAAAATAAATTGAAAAAGTAATCACAATGGCTATTGGAAACATTTTCACCTGAGGGCGATGGAGGAGGAGGAGGGGAGGGGAAATGAGAGGGCTCCGTTCTGGGTGGTACAGACATGAGAGAGAGAGACTTTCAGTTAGGACTGAGGAACTTGTGTAAAACTGATTCCACCATAACAATGAAAAGACAGGACGAACTGAAACGATGAAGCTCCTAGGAGAACAGATGTTCATGAACTTGAGCTAGACTTCTTTGACCCTGTAAAAGGAGCAGGCTTCCGGGTACCGGCAATGCAGGTCCGATGGCTTCATCTGGGCTGCAGGTGCCTGCCGTGACTCATCTCCCCCACTCTGCTCCCTATAGTTTTTTCTGACACTTGCTCATTGTAAGCGAATTTTACAAAAATATATATTTTGTATTGACTTCACAGCGGGATAGAGAGAGAGAAACATCAATTATGAGAATCATTGACCGGCTGCCTCCTGCATGCCCCCCACTGGGGATTGAGCCCACAATCTGGGCATGTGCCCTGACCCTTCCCCATTGAAGATGGAGTTCACAACCTGGGCAAGTGCTCTGACCAGGAATCTAACTGTGACCTCCTGGTTCACAGGTCGATGCTTAATCACTGAGCCACGCCGGCTGGGCTGTAAAGAGTTTTTATAAAATTTGAGCCAAACTGAGAATTGCTAGGAAACAAGATCTCAAATGCTCTGGAGGGTAACAGTTTTGCAGTTTCTTTTTCCCCTCGCTTCCCATCACCAATATGCAGTTCCTTTTATGCATTTGGAATTGAGGGATGAAGATGGGAGAAAGTAAGTGGGATTGGATTCCAGGATAAGTAACAAGGCAATGTGCTGTATGAATAACACCATTTTTCAAAGGTGTTATTAACCTAGATGCCCCAAAACAACGGAAAGGACTTAAGGTGAAGATAAACTTCTTACTAAAGAAGTTATACGCTTGGGGAGTGAATACCACCATGACCTGCCCATTTAGACCTTTATGATCAGATCATCCCATGTGGTTCCTTACAGTTGAACCCCTTTCTCACCCACAACGTCTTTGAATGGTCTTAGGGCCCCCCAAAACAGCTTACTGCTTCCGTTAGGATCTGATCAGTACCCCAATACATAGGCGCTTAAGAACTAAGAGAGGAAGGACTGACGGCGGCATCCGCCAAACAAGCAAAGCGCAACTCCCTCTAAAAAAATAAAAAAAAAATAAAAAGGTGTGTGTGGGGGGAACCAAACCAAAAAAAGTAAACAAACAAAAAAACAAAGCCCAGTTCCCCCGCGCTCGCCATTTCCAGGCCGACCCCACATCCCACCCACTCCCCCCCGGGACCCTCGCACAGCTGGAAGCCAGTCCTGGAACTGCGGGGGCAGGAGCGAGGTCCCAGCCCCCAGAACACCGCTCCGCCGGAAGAAGGTATCGGCTGGCGGCTGGCCCCGAGCTGTCATAGGGTGGCGCCGAGGAAAAGGCGGGACTTGGGCCTAGTCCTGCTTCCTTAGTGGCTAAAACGAGAGAGCTGGCTGCTCATTGGCTAAGAGCGGGGCTCGGACTCTGGGTTCTGATTGGCTAACGTCGAGAGCGAGCTGGGCGGTGACCTATCAGCCTGTGGGTCCGCCGTGGGTGAGTGGAAGAGACGGGCCCTTGCCCCGCCCCTCGGGCAAACCCCTTACTTTTAAAAACACAATGGCTGGGACCGAGGGTTATTGGCCGCGAAACCGCGGGGCCGACCTTTGTCTCTGAAGCCCTGGAGCCCAGGGACTGAGAGAGACGCCAGCGGCGAGAGAGGCCGGAACGAATCCTTCGCGGAACCATCGAGGCAGGGCCTCTGGACGCACGTGGAGGCACGGACCGCGCGGGCCGGGCCCGACCCGCCGGGATGGCAGCCGGGGCGACCGACGCGGGGCCGGGGGTCGCCATCCCCGTGGAGCTGCGGCGCGGGCAGCGCATGGTGTGCGTGGAGTACCCGGGCGTGGTGCGCGACGTGTCCAAGATGCTGTCCACCCTGGGCGGCGAGGAAGGCGTTTCTCGGGTGCGGAAGCGGGAGGCCCCGGGACCGCGCGGGAGGGACGGAGCTGTGGGAGCGCGGCCCGAGGGGCGGGGTCCCGGGGGAACCTGTGCGGTTTCCTTGGCAACGGAGCTTTAGGCGGGCGCTGGTGCGGCGCTGGTGCAGGCGCTGGTGCGGGCGCTGGGCGGGCTTTGCTGGAGAGGCCGCCCGGAGCAGCCCGTTGTTCCTGGAAGTAGAGGGAAAGGACTGTCGGGGAGACCCAGAGAGGGAAGGGGGTGTCCTTTGCACCCCTTATTCGGATGAGCCGCAGCCTCGGCGTCCCGGCCCGGAACGCAGCTCGCCCGCCTCCCCGCAGGGTGTGCTGGGCCCTGCCACGTCCTCGTTGCACTGGGTGGGAAACCGAGGCTCCGGACATTAAGAGCCGCTGATCTCCCTGGGGGGCGCGGGTCGGGGGCGAAGTGTTGTGCTGTTGGGGTTAAAGTAGTAACAGTTCACACCTTAGGAGCTTGACGTGCATCCTGTCCACATTGGAACCCTGGGGGGGAGGGGGCGGGAACTGTCACTGTCCGCATTTTACAAGGAGAGCCAGGTAGTTCAAGGCCACCAGGACACAGGAGAGCCGGGATGAGTGCTTCCTTGTGCCAGGCTCTGTGCAAGTGTTTTACACGCACCAGACCCTGGACTGCCTCTCGCCTTCCCGAACCCCAGCTCAGCTGGCAGTCACTCTCTGCAGCTTCCCAGCCGCTGAGCAGCAAGAGGCGCCCTCGTTTCCTCCGCGGTGCTTGGGTCTGACCAGTGAGCCCTTCTCCCGCCACCGGGGTCACCCCTGCCGGCCGCTTAGCTGGCCACGGCCTCATCCGTCTCCCTTGGCCTCGCACAGATCTATGGGGACCCCACCAAGAGGCTGGAGCTCTACTTCCGGCCCAAGGACCCCTACTGCCACCCCGTGTGTGCCAACCGCTTCAGTACCAGCAGCCTGCTGCTCCGGGTCAGGAGGAAGACGAAGCGGCAGGAGGGGCTGCCGGGGCCCGAGGCCCGCCCCCAGGTCACGTTTGACGTGGAGATCCTTGGCACCGTCCCCACCATTTACAGATTCCAAGGTAACTACCGGTGCATTCTTACCGAACTCGGCGACCTCAGGGCCTGTGTCCCCACTGCCTGCAGGAGCCTGGTGGGTCAGCCACACAGGGACGTGAGCCAGGACTGCACAGGCCTGCGGAGCTGGAGGTGAGGGCTTCTTAGAGAACCTGGAGGTCCATGAGGGGGGCCCTAACTCAGTTATTGTGGGGGCCACATAGACGGGCCCACAGGCCTCCAGTTCTCAATCCCCCCCCCCCCCCCCCAGTGTTGTGGAACCTGCGCCGTCCACACTGCTGCTGCCGCCGCCTCCCCTCGGAAGCCTTCCAGATCACCTCAGCCCCTTAGGACCTCATGTTTCTTGTATTCTTAGCCAAGTGGTGAGGAGGCAGGAAGGCGGGGGCGCGGGGTGTGTGTGTGTGTGGAGAACGGACCAGGATTTCGGCATTGTGCCTTCCTGAGCTCTGCGGGGGTTTTCATGCAGGCCGCTGGGCTTCCCTCTGCCTCGGTCTCCTTGTCCTGACCGTGGGGCCCTGAGTCCCTGAGGCGGTTGTGAAGATCCGGGGAGATGGTGCCTGTTAAGGGGCTGGCTCACCACCTGGGGGCACTGTGGAGCCTCTAGTGCAGCTGCCGGTCTCAGACTCTGAAGACAGGAATGACTGAGGAGGTTGGAGGGGGAGAAAGAAAAAGAGGAAGGAAGCGGAAGCGGGAGCTGGACCTGGGACCCCGGGGGTTGACATTGTGACTGTGAGCCGCTCTGGTGCGTTGTCTGGTCACCGAGGGCTGTCCTTGCGAGGACTAGGCGTCCAGTGACTTCATTCCCATCTCACTGAGCCAGCACCTCGCCAGCCACTGCACCCTGCCTCCCCGGGAGTCGTTAGCAACGCGCCGTCTCAGATTCCGCATTTCGCCAGCTCCCAGGCGAGTCAGGGCACCTTGCTTCGTGGGAAGCGCTGACCCAGACCTCATTCTCGCCCACGTACACCCCACCCACCCCAAACGCCGTTTATCCAAGCGACGGGGGTGGCGGAGCCGAGTGCGTGGAGGCAGCGTGGCAGCGTGCGGCTTCCGCTCCTGCCACCCAGGCCCGGCAGCCTCCGCCACTCGCTGGCTTGGCACCTCCCCAAGAAGACCGGGCGTTGGTGCGGGGCACCCTGGCTGCGGTGCCGGCTACCTGCCTGCCTCTCTCTCTCCAGGAATGTCCGACTTCCAGTACTTGGCTGTGCACACGGACGCGGGTGGCGCGCACAAGTCCATGTACGACAAGGTGCTCATGGTCAGGCCCGAGAGGGAGGACTTCTTCCACCAGGAGCTGCCGCTCTACATCCCCCCGCCCATCTTCTCCCGGCTGGACACCCCGGCGGACTACTACTACCGCCCGGAGACACAGCACCGGTGAGCCCGCCCGCCGCGGCAGGGAGCGAGCGGAGGCGGGAGGCGTCCGCGCAGGGCAGGGCAGGGCAGAGAGGGCCCTGGGTGAGCGGTGGCCGGTGCTGTGAGCTGGAGGCCCTGACAGGACAGAGACCTGGCTCCGGCTTGGTTCCAGCCGAGAAGTGGCCGCTGGGTTTAGCTCCTGAACACAGGGACGGCATCTCTGCCTCAGGTGGCTTCTCAGGTGCCGGGCGTTAGAAACACCAGGTGACACGCATCCTAGGCCGTTACAGGCCCCGGCCCCGCCGTGCGTGCCCCCGAGGCCCGTGAGAGTGCTGCTCCGTGGAAAGGAAACAAACGCTTCCAATGACAACCGGCAGGAAGAGAGACCCCAGGGCTGTGTGCAAGGCAGGTCTGGGGGTGCCATGGCTCTATTGGAGACCAGCAGCCCCAGTGCCGGGAAGGAGCGGGTTTCCTTCGTGTAGCAGCAGCCAAGGCAGAATGGCCTTAGGGAGAATGGCCTTAGGGAGAATGGCATTAGGGAGAAAGGAAACCCGTGGGTTTGCAAATGCCCAATTGGAGAAGAATGGCGTGGCCGCCACAAGCCACTGCCGCAGCCTCTCTCAGAAGCCTGTGCGTGTTTCTGCAGACGGGCTGGTCCAGGCCACGTGGCAGTCCCGGGCCCCACCTCTGACCCCCAAGCCTTGCTCATTGCACACTGTGTGTGTTTGCATGCTTTCCTTTTTCTAATCACACACAGAAGGGCACAGTGTTTTAAATGGCTCGATTTCAGTGTGAGCTCCACGGAGGTAGCGATTTGGCCTCCTAGTAACCCTGGTGGTTAGGGCAGCCCGGGAAAAACAGAAACAAACGGAGAGGACGGCTGGAAACATGGCCCCAGCTGGAGATGCTCGTTAAAGGGCTGTCCATAGCATGTTAGCTTCCCAAGCTGGAGGACTTTAGCGCCTGCTGACTTGGTAGCCGAGGGCCACCTCCCCCTGCTGGCCGCGGCTGTCAGCTGTGCTCAAGCCCCGGGACCAGCGCCTCCAGGCCGAGCAGCTGTGCTGGGCCCTGCCGCCCCCGCCCCCCCCCTCCCCGGAGGCGGTGCTCAGAGCTGCCCCCACACCACGGGGAGTGAATTGGGATGCCACCTTTGGAGTTGGAAACCCAGCCCCAGAAGTGTGCACCTTCAGATGCAAAAATACACCCCCCCCCCAAGGGGTCACTCCAAAATGAGGTCAGCATTTTGGTGAGCAGCGGGTCAAATCCGTTTGATTCCAGATGTTCTTTTCCTGTTTGCCAAGCAGTCCCACCTGAAGGATTTCCCCGGTGCCCCTCCCCTAAGAGCTCAAAAGACGGAGCTATGAGAGCGTTGCCAGGTTAACTGTTGGCCACAGCCGGCCCAGCCGGGTCCTCTGAGGCCCGGTGTCCCCACAGCGTCCGCGGGAGGAGGGCCAGCTGCCCTTGGACCCACAGGCCCCCCGCCCTCGCCACAGGGTCACGGGTTCCCGGCACCTGGAAAGCACCTGCCTTTCCTCCCAGCGCCGCCCCCGATGGTTCGCTGCCGGGAACACGATGGGGGCCGGCCTGGCGGGTCCCTCCTCCCGGGGGCTGAGTGAGTGCGGGAGCCCCGTCCCTGCAGCGGGCCACTTCCTCGGGGGGGTCCGTGGTCTCGGGGCGTCTTTGACCAGGACACTTGCTCGGCAGGAAGGTTTTACTGGAGTCACGGTCTTTGAAAAAGGCCCAGACTTGGTCCTGTGGTTAGTTTCGTTTCCCAGAGTGAGGTCAGTGGTCACACATAAGCAGCGGCCGGCGCTCACAGAGCGCCACGGTGAAAGGAAGCCGGTGGGAAAGGCAATGGTCACCGGAATGAATGTGCCGGGCAGGCGCACTCGGACGTAATCCAGTGAGATGGGGTGGTGCCGGGGAAAGGAAGCCCCTCACACTGTCCCTGCTTTAGTGCAGGTCAGACGCTCAGCACAGGTGCGGCCTCTGGGCGGCTCCTCACCAGCTCCGTTACTTCACGGAAAGGGCTGGCCTCCCCGCAGGCTATTAGGGGCTGAGTGAGTGAGAACTGGAAAAGCCAGTGAGCAGCGCTGAGGCCTGTCAGCAGGCCCCGGGGGGCTGCGTGGCAACTGTCACCATCCCCGCCTGAGGAGCCTTTGGGTGGTTCCTAGTCTAGCCTGGCGGGTGGGTGCTGGCCTGAGTCTGAGGCCCCCACCTGGGGACAGGAGCCTCCCTCACACTGAGCCTTGCCCAGCTTGGAGCTGTGGGCCCAGCCTCTCTGAGCGGCCGGTGGTCGCTACCCTCTCCCCGGTGCTCAGCCTGAGGACAGACGGGTCTCGGGCTCTAAGAACTGGACACAGGCTGCCGGCCTCACGGGCCTGGCGGGCTGGCTCCCTGCCTGGGCTGGCCGGGCCTGTGCCTGGTTCTCATGGGCGCCTCTGCCCCCAGGGAAGGCTACAACAACCCCCCCATCTCAGGCGAGAATCTGATCGGCCTGAGCAGGGCCCGGCGCCTCCACAACGCCATCTTCGTCAACTTCGAGGGGGACGAGGTGCCCGAGCAGCCGATGGAGGCTGCAGTGCAGACCTGGAGGAGGATCTGCACCAACCCCATGGACCGCAAGGTGGAGGAGGAGCTGAGGAAGGTGAGCCCCGCTCCGCCCCCTGTGCTGCCACCCGGAGACCCAGCCGGGCTCTCCTCACTCTTGGCAGCTGGCGGTGCCCACCTCTTTAACTGGTTCGTTAGCACACGGCACGTTCTCATCTCTAGACGTCAGTCTGAAAGCCTTGCCAAGTGTCAGCCTTGGATTCTCTGATGGGTCCCTTTGGACGGCGAACAGTCGTGCATTGTCCAGATAGACCTCTGTGGAGATCCGGTTCCTGGAAATTCTCCTCCTTTCATGGGTTTGCAGCGTGCCAGTTGGTGGCCGGGCCTCCCTGGGCGGAAGCCTTCGCCTTGCCCTCTGGCTGCGGTGCTGAGAGGACTCGGGCTGGGGTCTGCCCCTGGTGTCCTGCAGGCGCGGAGAGCAGGTCCTCGGTGAAGCCATTCCCTGCCGGTGGAGGCGCGCCCCTGGTGGCAGTTCACTGTCCTCGGGGGACGGAGTGCTTCTTAAAGGGACTGGACACCTTGCTGAGCTGCTAGCAGTCACGGGAGGAGCAGTGAGAGGTGGGATGGGGAGGGGCACTGTCCCAGGTTCCCATTCTCCTCTGGACACGGCCCAGTCCTAACTGGCTCAGGGCCCTTCCTGCTCCGGCCGCCACACTGAGCCACACTGGCCTTTAGTCCTCCTGGGCCAGGCCATCTCTTCAGCCTTCATGCTGTGCCAACTCGGGGTCCAGAGCTCCGGCTCCTTTGGCCATCTGCTGCCCTGTGATCTGCACAAAGACAGGCTGTGTCCCTCGTCCTTTCAGAGCCTGGCCCTGCAGCCACGCTGGGCGCGAGGTGTGCCCCGGCCCTGGAGCCTGGTCCCCGCGGCTCAGCCCGCCCTCTGCCAGCTCCCTTCGGGAAGGGTCCTCCAGGCCCAGCCCCCCCTGAGTCAGCCGGCGGGCGGGCGGACAGCTGTGCTCCCCTCAGCCTCTGCCTTCCCCTCCCTCAGCTGTTCGACATCCGTCCCATCTGGTCACGCAACGCCGTCAGAGCCAAGATCAGCGTCCACCCTGACAAGCTCAAGGTCCTGCTGCCCTTCATGGCCTATTACATGGTGAGTGCCCAGCCACCATCTTGGTTCCCACCAGGGCCGTGCTGGTCCCAGAGGTGACCTCTCAGAGCCCGAGCAGGCCACCCTGACCCGCCCCCTCCCCCAAAGAGCACACTCGACCACTTGGGGTGATTTCAGGATTAAAGAGTCATTTCATAACTTTACGCAAAGGGATTCTACACCTTTAAGTGTTCTGGTTGAGTGCTGTGTGGGCACCTCAGCCTTCCCCGGTGGCAGCCCCTCTGGGAGGAGCCTGGTGCAGAGCGCGGACAGGTGTCGCGGCTTCACAGCAGCCAGTGGCAGAGCCACCAGGCCCGGCTGTCTGTCTGACCCAGTGCCTCTGGCCCCGCTCCTCCCTGGGTTGAGTGGGGTTCATTGTGTTCCTAGCAGTCCCGGGGGGAGTCTGCCCCAGGCTTCTCATTCTCCTCTGGACATGCCCAGTCCTAACTGGCTCAGGACCCTTCCTGCCCGTAATCTCCCCCTTGGACTCAGTCCAGGCGGATGGAGATGGGATGTCATTACTGCGACTCCCAGAGGTGCTGGGGGAAGGGACCCTGCGTGCTGAGGGCCCCATGCAGGGTGGTGACAGGGGTGGGTACCTGGGCTCGGACCCAGACTTAGAGTCGCCGTCTGTCTTCCGCATGGGCTTTCTGGACTCGCGGCCTCAGGAGGACAGTGATGCGTTCACCAAGCACTTCCTGTGGCCGGCACCGTGGCCCAGGCCCCAGGCCTCATCTCGTTTATCCTCCAGCGTCTATGGGGGCTCATGTCACCCCACCTGACAGGAAGGCTGAGGCTTGGGGAGACCAAGTGACCTGTCCGAGGGGACAGCACGTGGCAGAGCTGGGGGGCTGCAGAGAATGTCTGCCTCGCCTCCACTGCCCATGTGTGGGCTCTCGATGTGGCTCCAAGTCTTTCAAATCTTGAGGTGTTGCACTGCCCCCCTCAGAGCCCCCCTCCGCCCCAGGCAGGCACCTGGCCTGTGCATCTGCGGAGCCGGGCTTGGCCTTGGCCCCTCCCACTCCCCCCTTCTCTGCCTCCAGATAACGGGTCCCTGGAGAAGCCTGTGGATCCGATTCGGGTACGACCCCCGAAAGCACCCGGAAGCCAAGATCTACCAAGTCCTTGATTTCCGGATCCGCTGTGGAATGAAGTCTGGTAAGAATGACCACAGCTCCCTCTCCTGGGGTCTTCCTGTTCCTGTGCGCACTGGTAATCACGTCCACGTGCGGGGAGGGCTGAACGAGGTGGACGTGAGGGTGCGAGTTTGGGCTTGGCTCCATGCTGACCCTCGTTACTGAGCCACAGCCACTCCGCGTGGGCTTTCTGTGGCTCCCGGGGGGAGGGGGAGGGCAGGCCGGGCGTCCAGCGGTGTCTGCAGCGAGCCACCGCACCCAGAGCCCCAGCTCGGCCCTCACTGGAACATGGTGGCTCCTGCCACCCCAGGCCCATCTCGGGAGCCGCCCCAGTGAGCCCCGTGGGCCGTCGCCAGGCCCGTGCCGTGTGCCAGAGGGGCTCTGCCCACCCGCATCTGACACCCCCTCGCCTGCAGGGTACACCTCCAACGAGATGCCCGTGAAGGCCAAGCGCAGCACCTACAACTACAGCCTCCCCATCACCGTCAAGAAGTCGTGTGAGTGCTTCGGCGCGCTCTGCGCATTGGGGTGGTGGCCTCACGCCGGTGCTGAGGACGGGGCCTCCGGACTGCGGGGGGCAGGAGGGTGCTTCCAGCAATCCCTGGGGAGGGGGCAGGGTAGCACCCCTACATTCCAAAGCACCGCTGTTGTCCCTAGCAGCCAACCAGCCTGTCACCATGCAAGACCTGAAGCAGGGCCTGGACCCATCCGGGGCAGCTGGCATGCAGAAACTGGCCTCCAACAAGTACAAGTTCAAGGTGGGTGCCCGGAGCCCGGGGCGGGCAGACTGCAGCCAGCACAGAAGAGCAGCCCCGGGCCCGCCGGCCTGGCAGGAGGCTCTCGGCTCCGGTCCAGACCTCCCAGGGCCTCCCAGGGCGTCGGAGCGGCTTTTCTGCACACCTGCTCTGGCTCAGGCCTGTCGCCCCACTGGGTGCAGGGACCAGTGACTCCTGTGGCCCAGGGGGGTCTCCAACGCTGCCCGCCAGGGGCAGGCTCCCCTGACGTGCCGTCTCCGTTCCTTGCACAGGACTCGGTTTACATCTTCCGGGAGGGCGCCTTGCCGCCGTACCGACAGATGTTCTACCAGCTGTGCGACCTCAGCGTGGAAGAGTACGTAGCTGAGGGCTCGAAGCCCGCGGGAGGCGGAGGGCAGGTCGGGCTGCGAGGCTGGCAGCAGAGCTCCCTGCGAGGTCCTCTCCCCTCAGCCTCCCCCTGGGCTCAGGTGCTGCCCGGAGAGCCCTGCGTCTGGGTCGCCAGGGGCCAGCCCTCGGGTCCAGGCAGGGGGCGGGGCTGGCCGCGGACGTGGTGCCTGTGGCGCCTGCCTCGCCTCCACTGCCCACGTGTGGGCTCGTGATGGGGCCCCCAGCCCTTCAGAACCAACCAGAACCCGAGACCTTCAATCCGGTTGTTCCTAGTGCTGCCTTGAAACCAGGGAGGGGCGCCGGGGGCAGCTGCGGCCCATTAGACCAGCGGGAAGGCGTGTGGAAGCCAACTCACCACGCCCGTGGGGGGCACCCCGCTCCCTGCCTCAGGGTCGGGGAGCACAGCCCAGGGCCCAGCGGTCCTGCAAGCTCATTCCGCTTCACCCTCGGCACTCAGCGCTGCGTTCCAAGCACAGCCCCTCGCCTGGCCGCGCACTGGCCCGTTAGCGGGAGCCGCCCTGGAACTCCGTGCCCCCCCTCCCCCCCAGGTTGCAGAAGATCATTCACCGCAACGACGGGGCCGAGGAGAGCTGCACCGAGCGGGACGGGTGGTGCCTGCCCAAGACCAGCGACGACCTGCGCAACGCCATGTCCCTCATGATCCGGCAGATCATCCGCGCCCGGAGGCCTGGTGAGCCCAGGGGAGGGGCGGGGTCCCTCTGCCGGTCTCCTCTCTGCGGTGGCACCGGCCCAGGGCCAGCACCCAGGCTGCCCGCGGCCGTCACGGTTACCGCTTCACCTGCCTCCCCTCACACCTTCCCACCGTCTGTCCGCCCTGGGAGACGGGCAGTGGGCCAGGTCCTGTCACCGGGGCGGACGGTGGGGAGGGGGCAGGTAGCCCTGGCAGCTGGGTCCCTGAGGAGGGGCGTGAGCACCTGCTGAGTTGGGCTGACGGAGCAGAGGTGCTTAGCCTTGTATGGGACCCAGCCCCTCAGCTGCGGGCCCTCTCCCCATAAACACTCCCCAAAAACACTCACAAAGTGTGCCACCTGGCGTCACGGGCACCTCGGGAAGTGGTGTGCAAAGCATGCAGCTCCACGGTCCCGACACGCCAGAGTGCCAGGTCCTGGCACCCACGCTCTGCAGCAGCTCCTGCTGGAACCCAGGAGCCCGTTCTGGGGTTCTGGGGCCAGGGGCCCAGCCTGGGGCCTGGGGCAGGAGCCTGCTTCAGGGCACGCTGTCTCCTGCCAGCCCTCTTCTCCAGCCCGGCCAAGACTGACGGCGAGGGAAGGAAGGAGCAGCTGACGGGCGAGTCTGGGGAGGAGGAGGAGGAGGAGGAAGAGGAGGAGGACTTCAAGCCGTCGGACGGGAGTGAGAACGAGATGGAGACCGAGATCCTGGACTATGTGTGACGCAGGGTCACGTGTGACCCCAGGGGCAAGCCAGGGCTCCACAGCGGCCACGGTCGCCAGAGCAGCCCTGGAGGCGCCTGAGGAGCTGCGTGAGCTGCCGGGGCCGCGCAGGACAGTCCACCAGTTGGCACCAGCGAGAGCTGGAGGTGGAGATGGTGCCACGAGGGTGGGGGTTAGCTTGGCTTGGGTCTCATGACTGATGGCAGGGACGGGGCCAGGAGGCTGGTGTGTGTTCACAGCTGGCGGGAGCCTGTCCTTGTGTTGGATCCTCGTAATTGGGCTTAGCCTGGCAAAGGCAGGCCCAGCTGGCATTGCCGGCATTAAATACCTTCCCCAGGAGACTTGGTATTAGAGTGGCTCAGAGCCCCTGCCGGGGGGTGGTGTGGAGGACGTGGCTGCTGGACCATGGCTGTTCCTTGGTGGTCTTGTGGGCGGTGCTGGGACAGCTGAGCACAGGCCTGGTGCCCTCGCCAGGTGGGCCCACAGCCCAGAGGGCCCCACAGCCGGCGTTCATTCACCCCTCACGGCTCCAGAGCCTCTAGAAACAGGCCCTGGTCCCACGGCTGCTGGAGCGAAAGGGCAGGGTCCCGGGGAGCCTCCAGGACAGACCAGGGGCCCAGGGCTCCGTCCCGGGACCTGCCTTGTAGAGAAGCTGGCCACCCGCCCGCCCGATGGCCCCACTCCCTGCTCCCTGATGGCACAGCCAGCACTTCGGGGGCAGCTCTCCCGGAGGCAGGCTGGGCCCAGGCCCACGTTCCCCACCCCACCCAACCCCGTCCCACGTGCTACCCTCAGGGCCTCTGCTCTCCACTGTGATCTCCGTGGGGCTCCCACTTCTGAGCTGGGCTACGAACCCCCCGATCCTCAGGGAGAGGGTCCAGGCTCTGGTCCCCACCTCCAGGAGCGGCCGGTCCCTATGCCAGCCTGAGGAAGGCAGCCGGGCAAGGACCTCCCCACAGTTACTGGCACCGGCCCCACCGATGGGCCCCCAGGTCCTGCCACACTTAGAAGTATCTGGTGACTCCACTCGGAACCTGACACATCCCACTTTGGAAAAGCTTTTTTGTTGTGGAAAATACCAAGTACCCACCGAAATAGACAACTGAGTAGAGTTCATGCTCCAAACTGCTCCCCTGGCAGCACGCCGTCCTGCTGGAGGCACCCACTGTGCGGCCCTCAGGTGAGGGCCTGACCGGCTCGGCTGGGCTCCCTCGGCCGCCCCTCGGCCTCTGCCGCGTGCTGGGCAGCCACGTGGTTCCTGGGGGCAAGGCTTCCCGGGGGCTGCCAGCCTGTGGGCCCGGCGTGCCGCTGCCCCATGTCCGCTGGGCATGGACTCCCTCAGACACCGGGACGGGTGCCCCCCACTGCGGGGCTTAGGACATGGCACCCCAGCAATGGCCAGTGGGGATCAGGGGTACAACAAACACCTGTCTCGGTACCCCGAGTGGGGTCTTGACATTGCCACACCAAGGAAGGTGCGGCCGGTGTGGCCGGAAGGCAGGGAGAACCAGAGGGAGTGTCACAGGACACGGGGTGACCTGAGGCCACTCTGGGAGGCACGCAGACACCTGTGAGGTGAAGGCACCTCTGGCCACATGCTGTCGGCAGCGCCAGGGCAGCTTAGTGTCTGAGTGGCAGTGCCTGCCTGCGGTGGGGCCAGCACAGGTGGGTCTGCCCGCACAGACTGCTCCTTCGGGGAAGTTATTCTAAGGATTTGCCTCAGTTCTGTGTGCCGTGAAGTCAGTGGGTGAGTTTTACTCGGTCAGCTCTGTCAGTTCAGAACCTGATACCTCCAGCCCAGTTACCTAGGTTAGCATAGACTTATGGGAACCCATAGACCCTCCACGCACCCAAAATAGTCATGCATTTTTTTTTATTTTTTTTTTTTTGTCATGCATTCTTCACACAGAAAAACATGCAAACCCACCCATCCGTGCATACTCAGCAGGGGTTCGAGAAGGGTTTTCCACCAATGAGACGCTCCCGTGTTAATAACACCTTTACACTAAAAAGCATAGAACACCGGGGCCCACATGTGGACTAGCCTCTGCAGAGAGAAGCTTAAGACTCCAACCCATCTTCTTCCATGGAAACCTTGGCCCTATCCCAGCCTCTGTTGACCTGGGCCCTAAGCCAGCCTCTTGACCTGGGCCCTATCTCAGCCTCTGTTGACCTGGGCCTATCCCAGCCTCTGTTGAAAAGTGGCATTAGAAGAAGTTTAAGTTTAAAAAATTTGGCTCTTGAAAGAAATTTCAATCATTGTACTGTTGATATTTGGCTCTGTTTACTAATGAGTTTGCCGGCCACTTCCCTAGCCGGTTGGCTCAGTGGATAGAGCATAGGCCTGCAGACTGAAGGGTCCTGGGTTTGATTCTGGTCAAGGGCACACACCCGGGTTGTGGGCTCAATCCCCAGTGGGGAATATTTGGGGGGCAGCCAATCAATGATTCTCATCATTGATGTTTCTCTCCCTCTTCCTTCTTCTCTGAAACCAATAAAAATATATTAAAAAACAAACTGGTCAGCAATGTGTTAGGAACTGAGGTCGGTCCTTACCATGCTTCAGAGGACTGTCACCCAGAGCACTGCTCAGGAGTTGGCTCACCAATGGATCCCCGATGAGATGGGAGCGAGGTCAGAGTCTTCAGGGGGGTACCCTGGGCCGTGGTGTGAGAGGTCCAAGAGACTAGCCATGAGTCCGACCTTAGCTGAGTCCCGGCACCATCACTGTCCAAGCAAAATCAGAGCGGACAGAAGTTAAAGTGGCAAAACCAGACTTTATTCAGGACTATTGCAACAGGGAGGAGCCCTCTGTGTGGGCCTGAGCTCCCTCTATAGCGCGTGGGCAAGTGGGTGCTCCAGCCAAGGAGCAGGGCGGCCCGTGGTGGGAAGTGACTCATCGGGACCCAGGGTACGGGCCATTCCGGCCAACGGGGACCTGGGTGAAGACACCCGCAGTGACCAGAGCACCAGGGTCGCTGGAGGCTGAGGAGCCGAGGGGATGCAGAGAGTGATCCGATCCGGCTGTGAGACATCTGTGGGAAACGCCTCAGGGAGCCCCGAGGGTGGTCAGGGAGAGCATCTTTGCTGGACTTCAAGCATTGGCCGAATCTCCTCTGAAGTCAATGAAAACATCCTATCTAATAAAGAGGGAATAAGCAAATTGACCATCACTCCGCCATAAAGCTGGCAATGCCCATAGCCACAAGATGGCGGCACCCAGTCCTCTCAGCCCCAACCGAGTCCCCCAGCCCCGGTGAAATTAATGCCCCTAAAGTCAGCTCCCGAAAGCAAGATTAGCAGGAAGCACCCCACTTGCCGCAGAAGCCAGCGGGGATCTCTCTCTGCGGGATACTGTCGCCTCCTTGGGATACTTCCGGGCAAGCTCCGTTGGGGCTGAGAGGACTGGGTACCGCCATCTTGTGGCTATGGGCGCCGCCATCTTCGTGGCAGAGTGGTAGTCAATTTGCATATTCCCTCTTTATTAGATAGGATGTTTTCATTGACTTCAGACAGAGGAAGGGAGAGAGAGAAAAACATTGGTTGGCTGCCTTCAGCAAGCCCTCTACTGGGATCCAGCCCACATTCCCAGCATGACTGGGAATCAAACCCGCAACCTATCAGTGTGTGCAACCACCACACTCAACTACTGAGCCACGCCAGCTGAACGATTTTATTTGTTTTTAACATATATTTTTATTGATTTCGGAGAGAAAGAGGGGGGATAGAAACATCAATGATAAGAGAGAATCATGGATCAGCTGCCTCCTATACACCCCCAAATGGGGATCAAGCCTGCAACCCGGCCATGTGCCCTAATCGGGAATTGAATTGTGACCTCCTGCTTCACAGATGGACACTCAACCTCTGAGCCATACCAGCCAAGTATATTTTTCTTAATTTTATCGTTGAGAGTATTACAGATGTCCATTTCCCCCTTTTCCCTCTCCACCCAGCTCTCACCTGCCAGCCCCAGGCCTTCCCCTGTCTATTGCCTGTGTCCAGGGGCCCTGCATTGATGCACAGAAATTCTGGATTCATCTCTTCCCGACCTCCCTCCACCTCCACTCCCAGATCTGCCCTGCAAATCTTTAGTAATCCACGGTGCAAATGTACCACAGCTTTTTTCCACGCATCTACCGATGGGCACTCGGGCTGTTTCCAGATCGTAGCTATTGTACATCATCTGCTAGGAACACAGGGAGCACACACTCATTCTGATCGGTGCCCAAGGATTCTTAGGAGAGTCCCAGGAGGGGGATCGCTGGTCAAACGGCAGTGCCTTTTTTGATTTTTGAGGCAGCTCAGTACCGTTCCCCCCATTGGCCGCACCAGCCCCCATCCCACCGGCAGGACACGAGGGTTCCCTCTCCTCACCCGCCAGCCCCTGTGGTCTGTGGTTTGCTGACCCTCCAGGCGGTGGAGCTGATTGACTCTGTGGGTGGAATTTGCTGATTGGTGGCCTCCACTGGCCATCAGTGCACCCTCATGATTCTTCCTACAGAACAGGCTCCAGAACGGGACTAGTTGCCAGAGGCCTGTTAGCAAATGCACCCCTCAAACTCTTTGCTCCCCAGTCCTCAGCCACCCAGCCCAGCCTGCTCAGTCCTGCTGCCCACTGTCCTGTCGCCTCACCTCCTCCATCCCAGGAGAGCTGGGCTCTGGATCAGCGGGCAGACACTCTGGCCTGCGTCCATGTGGTGCTGGGACAGGGCCTGCCTTGTGCCATCTGTCTCTATTCCCAGTAACCTTCGCAGGTGCACTGAGGGCACCAGCTCCCCACGGCGGCTCCTGGGAAAGGCAGACCATCTCTGCACCGGTGCACGTGTGTGTGCATGTGTGTGCGTGCGTGTGTGCACGTGTGCACCTACCTGACCTTGGCCCAGCCCCTGCCAGGCTGGAAATGACAGCTGTGCTGGTCCCACGCACACCACCTGGAGTGTGGCCACCCTGCAGGGAGGGGCAGAGGTCAGAGGAGGGAAAGGGGACTCTCTATAGGC